TTTTATTCATTTTCAATGGGTATATACTTATGTGTAAGCCCGATGAGTCAATGTCGTTAAAGAAAGTGTGCGGCATAAATCAGAGAAGTGTCAGCTGACGTGCTTGAAAGTGGATCATATTTTGGGCCAAGTCGTAAATCGATATGACATTTGGGGTACAATTAAATGCGAGTACGCAAAAAAAATATTTAAATTTTATTCTGATGTTGTTTGCAGTTTAATTCGCGTATGCTGTTCAAATTTATGAACGACATTCGAGGTGTGAATGGAATGGCCAAAAGCGAAGCGAACATAGATTAGATATAAGGCTAAGACGGAAAAATAAAGTGAGAGATAAATATAAATAAACTGAGGCAAATGAGCTACATAAGCAATTAAATTTGCTTTTGAACTTTTTTATAAAATGGCCTATATATATGGGGATGTGGCCAAAAATGTATCAAAAGAAAAGCAATTTGCATTTCCTTAATTTAAAAAAATAATAAAATAAAAGCAAGGATAAGCAACAACTTTCACAATAAAACAAATCAAGGAACATTATATCTATTATAAACAAAACTTAATTTGTTTTATTCAATCTATTTAATTTAGTATCAGAGTTTGTTAAATATATGATGATATATGAGCCTGGCCCAATTGAATTAGCTCACGACATGAGAGTAATTAAAATAAGAGACTCATCAATTAGCTGCAACTAATTTCCAGCAATTGTTGTTTAAGTTCAGCTGCACCCAGCGAACTACCCACACACACACTGAGAAAAACAAAAAGCGCCCACACACTTCCCATACAACAACAAGAACAACAATGACAGGCGAATTGATTTGCGTTTATCAATTGAGGGCGAAAAAAAAGGTGCGAAATGAAAAATAAACTTTTGTTTGTCTGGTTTTCGAGTTTCTCAATTTCATGTGTTTACGCAAAAATGAAAATTACACGCTGCGAAAAAAATTGGAAGCGAAATTAAACGCGTGTGAAAAATAAATTGTGGCCAGCAAGTAGCATAAACAAAGAAAAAACTTGAAACGCAAATGAGATGAAGAAAAAATAAACTCAAATTAATTAAATTTCCTGCCACGATGCGCACTTTCGCCTTGGGCACTGTGCACACTTTGCGGGAGGCGACTGTAGCATTTCAAGGCAGACAAATGCCGTTTTAATTTGAATAAATTACTACGTTCAAGAGACAATCAAAAATGCTTAAGCTATGAGCTCAGCTAGGCTTCAAACATTGAAGTATTTTAATTACTTAAAAATTATTTCTGCAATTTCAAAGTTTGTCGACTATTTCAAAAGAAAGCGGTTTATTTTTCCTGCAAATATTTCAATTGGACTTTTTCCGCAGCAAGTTGCATTTTTTGTCTTTTTTTGTCACGTTTGTTTTGACATTTTAGGCGAAAAGGTGTGTGTGCGTGTGTGCAGGTGAGAGCGAGATGGCTGGTAATGATAGACACGCAGTCGCTGAAGCGAGACAAAGTGCAACAAATATGGCAAAAAAAAAACCAATACAAGTGTAACCATAGATAAGTGTCGATATGGGCAAAGGAAATAGGTAGAAATAACGAAAAGATCAAACAACAATTGTTAAGAGTTGGCTGCAAGAAAAGAGAGCGGCAAATTAAGAGAGCAAGATTGTTGTGGCAGCAAGAGTGCGCGCTTATAGCAACAGGCAGCTTATGTAATTATGGTAGTCTGCTACAGGTGACAGCAATGTTTGCCGCAGCATTGATCATGTAACATAAACAGAGAGCAGCAATGTTATTAGAAGGGCTGTTATTAAGACGTTCTGTGACAAACAGAAGAGAGCAAAGAGCGCGCGCACCGCTCGCTCCGTTTGGCAGACAGCCAAGCGCCTTGTGCGATGTTTTTATCTGGTATGTTTTGTTTGTGCGTGCCCATTGTTTTTACCTTCGCCTTTGCCTTCAACATTCACCGAGCGCCGACTGAGAATGTTAACAACAAATATTTGATGAAATTCAAATCTAACAATTGAAAGCCCGTTGGGTGCGCATTTAATAACAATTTGATAAGGGGTGGAAGGGGGGCACTGTGTATGTATATAGTTGTAGTTGCATGTTTGTGTTGCTGTTGTTTCTTTCAATTCATTTTATTTTTTTTTTGTTCCATTATCAGGCGACAAGAGAATACACGCAAAGATAAGCAAATATACACAAAGAGACGCACAAGCTGAAGAAGGTAATAAACAAGCAAAGTGACCAAAATGTAAATATGTCTGTAAATCTGGCACGCTTTTCTGTGGGGATTAACAGAAAGATTTCTTTACTGCACTTGTCTGTTATCAAGCATTTGTTTACATTACAAGAAAACGACAAAAAATACAAATTTTAATTAAATAATTTTTTAATTTGTATGCTTTGGAGCAGCATAATTTGGGTTTATGCTTTCTTTTTCGTGCAATTATTTTTCATTATTATTCCACATGACAACTGCGGCAACTACCTAAACAACAAAGGCGACACACATTCATACATATTTCCGCAAGAGTTAACAAATACAACAACAACAACAACAAGTGCTAAGTACATACATATATACACACATATAGCTAGATTTTAGCGGAACTCGAGGCGAAAGTTTTAGCTCTAGCCAAAACGTGGGAGTTGAGAATGAAAACTATAAGAAAAACGTCAAAAGGGCGCAGTTTAATTGCTTCTTCTTTCCATCAATTATAAAAAAACGACTGAAAAAACGGCAACCTGGATGCTCTTTAAATTGGACATTCATACAAAAAATACGGTGAATATATATACATAATTTCATTAGATATATTTCATAAGAAATGCTCAGAAAATTGAGAATACGTTTTCTTTTTTGCATATGGCAATTTTCATTCAAGATCAAAAGCGTTATATGTTGTATTGGACGGCACTGTATACAGTCTGATACACATGTATATGTAAACATTTTGAAACTCATCTGACTTGTATATATACGATTTGATTGCTGCATTTTCAGCGTAGGATATTGAGTCATTTAATGAATTATTTCAAATTTATTCTATTTATATATGTTTAAATATATTGTGGTCTTAAATTTGCAAAAATTTTCCAAGCATGAAAACTTGGAAAACATTTAAAGCGCGTAAGAACTTGATTGACTTTGAAAATTTAATATTAACTTGGCTTTTAACTATACATATATTCCTTTATACTTACATATATATGTATTGTAAGAATGTATTTGCAATTGACATAATCGTAAGTTTCTTGCCTGCGCAATGAAGATAATAAATAATTGTTGGTTCATAATCTTTATCGAATCGTTACAGAATCAACAAACTCGTTTTTGAAATTTATATATTTATTACTTATCGCATTCACAAATGGCAAACAAACTAATGGGCCATAAATATTTTCCGAACACTCGCATCTAAAATAAAGTGCACACTGCTAAGTTACATCCTTGTTTAATCACAAGTATTTGCCGTATTAGACTGTACACTGGCTTCAGAAATAAAGGGTACACCGTGCTGCACATACTGGCGTCTAAATTCAAACCAAATTCAACGAAACGAAAAATGTTTAACAAATCTCATCAGCTGATGAACTTAAATAACAGTGCAAACTTTTGGGTCAACAATTTTAGTTTGTCCATTTGAGACAGCCTCGAGACTTGATTAACATAATGAGAAAAACTTGTGTAGACCGAATATAACAAGGCTGAAAGCCGCAAAAAATCATTACACAAATTATACAAGCTAAGGTCAGGTGGTCATTGTCTCGGTGAAAGACGACATTAAATTGCTCGAATTTTGAAGGAGAGCTATAAAACGCGGCAGAGGAGGAAATTCAGAAAAAAATGCGAAGCAAGAAACAAAACAATGCAGGCAAAGGCATTGATTTATGGGTGAGGCCCAAGGATTATAAAGGGGATACACACACACACACACATGCACATAATATACTTAAATACCTAATAAATCATAATGCGACAAAACAAAAACTCAACTCAAGGCGTTTTGGGCGCGTTTTACAGCGCGTCCATGCGCCAAGCCGATTAGCGTGCGAATTGTGGATGAGAAGGATACGAATAATGTAAAAGTTTAACGCGGCACGCATTAAAGAGAGTGTTTAAACGGTGTTAGCAGTAGACGGACTTTTCAGGCGAAAAGCGCACCAAAGCAAACACGTGAAAGAACAAAAAATGACACAGAAATGTCTGTTACGCGCGAATGAATTTGAAACAAGGAAGGCGGGGGCTGTGCAGACATGGGAGTGTCACGAGTGCCAAAGGGGAAGGGGTGGGGTGTGTCACTGCCTGCCGAAATCAATTAACAACCATAAGGAAGATCAAAGCTGCGCTCAAGTGAAAATGTAAGAACTAGAGCGTGCGAGCGAGACAATAGATGAGTACAGTTACTGAGAGCGAAATGAATGGAAGTCATGTCGTATGCATAATTTGCGCATTGGATAAAAATAATACAAAAGCGTAAGAGAAGAAAGTGTAATGTTAATATGGGAACATAAAAACGGGAATTAAATAGATAGTTACAACGGAACTGGAATGCCCTTATAAATTAAGTATTACAAAACATTTCAAATAAATGAGTCAAACTTATTTCCAATTTTATAAAAATCTCAAAAAAAAGTGAGGTTCATATTTTAAAAAAGTCATATATGATGCACATGATTTACTCCAAACTGTGCCACGTAACGAATTGACCCTGTTCTTGTTTTGGCAGCGGCTCAGTCCATAAAGAGGGGTTGATGACGTTGCCCGAGACAAAAGCCATAAAAACTATGTGTAAGTAGTTTCTGGCAGCCACAACCCCAAATGGGCGCCAGGGGGGTCGAACAGGGGGAGTGTAATCATATACAGTGAAAGCTCTTATGAGTGGACTACTCTCAAAAGATGTCAAGAAAACAATTCATTCGTAATTTTTAAGTTTAAAAAAATAAATTAAATAGATGTTTAATCCTTTTCATTAAGAACTGAAATTATATGTCCGTCTAAAGGTGGTTTTCACTTAGGTCGAGTTCTCACTGTACACGCGCTTTACGGTTAACATATGGATTTCTTTTGGTACTCACCAAAACATTCTTTTGATTCTCTTTATCCAGCAGAAATTCCATGCTTTTGTGTGGCCTACGGACCGAGGCGATTTGGACGCCGCCCGCCTGTGTTGATGGCTTGATGCGTTGATTGTTTCCATCGAGACGCTCATCGCCGTCGTCGTCGTCGTCATCATCATCCTGGACATCGTAGGCGGCGCTGGTCACATTTAAGCGCTTGACCAGATACCGTTTGTGCAGCGGGTTGCAGGTGATGTCCATAAGGGAGCGTGTCTTGCCCGTGATAACAGTTTCGTGTGTGTCCAAATTGGTCTCGATGAGGCCCATTTTCCCGCCACCGCCGTCGGTGTCATCCAGCATTGGGGAGACAGCCACCGGCACGGCTGTCACCATGGTGAGCGGACGCGTCGGCAGCGGCAAGCCGGCGCCCAGCTGATTGAACATTTGCGTCTTTTGCGCGACAGAGGCGCGCGACGGCGATTCGGTGGCTCGAGCCATTTCCGTTTCCGTTAGCGACATTTCGTGACGCTGGCCCGTTGTCAACTGTTGGGCAAAGGCCGCATATTGTTCCCGTTCGGCGGCCAAGAGAGCATCGCTAGCATGGGCAGCACCAAACGAGCCATTGGCAGCACTCACCGAGTACGGCGCATGCGTTTGCCTCGGCGGCAACTTAGGCAGCGGGGGTTTACCTGTGACCAGCTTTTGCAGTGTCGATGTTTTCGGCTGCTCCAGCTCAGCTGCTGCTGCTGCTGCGGCTGTCGCCTGGCGGCTGTGCACGCTGGCGGTGCTCGCCTCGGAGGCGTTGCTGTCATCTAGCGTGCTGCGCGGCGGCTTGAGGGGTATGTAAATGAAATCCTGGCTTTTGCCATTGCTCTGCGGCGCTTGCTTGAGACTGGCCTGCTGCTGCTGCGGCTGCTGCTGCGGCTGCTGCTGCGGCTGCTGTTGCTGCTGCTTCTTCTTGCGGCGCAGCGAGAAGCGCAGGCCATGCGCAAAGCGCGACAGAAAACTCTTTGAGCTGGGATGCTTCTCATCCGTTTTATTGGCGCGCTGCTTAAGCGGCGACTCATTGTTATTGGCGCTGACGACGTGCGTCGCTGGCTGGACTGACGTTGATTTGGACGACATGTTCTTGACGACGTTGTCGTTGTCGTAACGCTGCAGCAGCTGCTGCGAGGCGTAGAGTATGTGGTGTGCGCGGTTTGTTGGCGGTTCGCTTAGTATGGGCAAATGCAGGCTTAGGGGGCGTGTGTGTAACGGCACTGTGTGAACTGGTGAACTGGCGATCGCGTACGATGAGCTCGCGTCGACGCTCGTTTCAAGACTGACAGCAGAGGCAGCAGCAGCGACGCTTGAAACGGGCTGCGGCGGCGGCGGCGATGTTTGTTTTTGTTGCGTTTCCATGCTGCCGCCAGCGGCGATGTTTTCGTTGTTTTCATCGCTCTCGCTGCTCATCGCGTCATCGATCATGCTCTCACGCTCGCGTTCACAGTCGCTCTCTTGCGCTCTTTGCTGTTGCTTTTGCTGTGGCTCTTGATGCTCTTGTTGCGGCGCTCTTAGCTGCTGCTCTTCAGTGTAGCGCGCTGCTATGTACTCGTTCTCTTTGGTGTTATAAATAACAGTGGCATCGTCGTTATCCAACAGCTCCCCCTCTTCTCCATCATCATCATCATCATCTTGCTCCTCATCGCTGCTCGTCTGCTCGTGCTCCTCTTGCGGCTCCTCCGAAGACTGCTCCTGCCAGCAATACTTACTCACCACTGGACAGAAACTCACCTCCTTGCTAAATGAATTACGCGAGCCCGCCGGCAACAGTATGCCCAAAGGCTTTGGCTGTGTCGGTGTCTGCGGCAGCTGATGCATCGAATTATGCGCACTGCTCACATATATATCATCCTCCGCCTCCTGGCCGCCATCGAAGGCCGATAGATTGGGCGTGCTGCTGACCAGGCTGCGCTGCTTGGCCGTTGAGCTCTGGAAGCGGCGCTTGGGCAGCGCCCGGTTGGGCGGCGCTGGCGGATTCCTCTTGGGCAGCTCGAAATTGCATTGCTCCAGCGACTGGGCATAGGAGGTGCGCAAATTGGTCGGATCCTGATCGAAGGTCTTGCCAAAGCTGCTGAAACTGATGACAGTCGCCGCCGGCACTGAGGATTGAGGAACTGGCGATGTCGGCTCCTTGTCCGCCGTGTGCCGCTTTTGGCGAGCCGGCGGCTTGCGTATGGTTAGCTGCACATGCTGCACTTGGGGTGGCGCCTCCTCCTCCGGCTGCTGCTGGCGCTGCTCCGGCTGCTGCTGGCGCTGCTCCGGCGGCCATTCCTGCTCGACAGTCTTGTCATTCAATATGGATGCGTTTTTGTCATAGATTTGGCTCAGCTCGTCCAGCAAAAAGTTGCCCTTGCATATGAGCTGCTCGTAATCCTCACCAGAAACGACACGTTTACGTTTGTCCATGTCCGAAGAGCTGCGCTTGCAATTATCACTGCGATCCGCGTAGTCGAGTAGCGTTAAATTCTGATAGCTAGCGTTTAGGTAGCCTGCGCCCGCGCCCGCTCCTGTTTCCGCTTCCGTTCTTGCTGCTCCACTGAAGCCGCAACGTTCGTTCCAGCTGCAGCTGCGTCGCATGCGCGGCAAGCTGCTGCAATCAAAATTGTCCAAATCCTCGCTAGAGCTGTGCCCGTCGTCGCTGCTCTGGCAATTTCTCTGCTGCTGCTGGCGACGCGTTCGCCTCCGTCTGCCCAGCTGCTGCAGCTCGTTGGGCACGCTGCCGGCTAGGGCTGTGGCTTCGCTGGTTCGTGACAGCACGGGCGAGCACTCGGCGGATGAGGAGGAGGAGGAGCTGCTGCTGCTGTTGCTCTTGTTGTTGGCCAGGCCGTAGCTGTTGTTGTCCGTTAGAAATTTGGGCGACGAACCTCGCGGCTCGCGTATGTCGGGCAAACTGTTGCGCAGCCAAGTGAACGAGGCGGCGGACGATGTTGACGACGACGTCGGCGACGACGTTGCGGATGCCGCTGATCCGCTGGGCGATGGCGACGGCGACGACGATGTCGATGGCGAGCGTGCGCCTCTCTCGCGGCTATTTATAGACGATGCCGGAGAGCCGAGAGATGACTGCGTCTCGTTTGTCTGCTGCTCTATTTTTGTCTGACACAAATCATTGGAGTTTTTGGAATGTGCGCCTGTCGCTGTTGCTGCCCCTGCCCCCGCGCCTACTGTTGCCTCCTGTTCCAGCAGCTCCTCCATCTCCTCCTCTTCGCAGAGTTTGTCGAAATTCTTTGGTATGCTCTTGGATTTGGCGCGTCGCAATGTGCTCGGCTCACAGTAGCCCGAATCCTCAGACAAATTCTCCGCCGAATTGAGCGGCAAGCGTCGGGCACTGCCCGCATCTTGTTTCCCCGGACAGGCGCTAAGCATGCTGTGCCCGCTGCTATCGCTGCTGGACGTGCTGCTCGACTCCGAGTCGGACTTGAGCTCCGCCTGATGCAGGCTCTTGCAGGCGCCGAACAGCTCACGCTGCTGCTCCTCCAGGTCCAGCTTGTGCAGCTCGAAGTAGGTCTGATGGAGTCGCCCGTCGCTCGACTCGTAGCGCTTCAGCAGCGACGTGGCCGAGCCGCGGCGGCTGTCCGGATTGCTGTGGCTGCCGCTGGCGCCGCCGCCGCCGCTGCTGCTGCTGCCGCCGCTGCTGCTGGCCATTGTCTCGCAGCTGAAGAGCGAGGGCGAGCTGTTGCCCAGGCTGTTCATGCTCTGGTGCTGCTCCTGCAGCGTCAGCTGGCGCTCCAGCGACTCGAACTGCACCAGCGAGGAGCTGCGCGATAGCGAATGATACGAATCGTTGTCCGAGTAGAAATCCTCAAAGTTGCCGCCACCGCGCCGGCAGCTGCCGGTGCTGTTGCGCTGGCCCTGGCTGCCGTAGCTGTCCCGGGCGCAGGCCTCCAGCGCCAGGAAGCGCTCCAGGCTGTTGTGCGCCTCGGCATCGTAGCGCGGCGGTGGCGGGCGACGCAGCTGCACCATATCCTCCAGACTGTGCGGCTGCTGCAGCTGCTGCTGCTGCTGCTGCAGCTCCTCCTGCGAGCGGCGCGCTCGCTTCGGCGGACAGGCAAAGTCACGTTCCGATATGGCGTCGATATCTGCCGTAAAAAGGTACCAATTAAATGAAGTTCTCCATTTATTCCTGCCGTACTCACCCTTGTTAATTTCGACTCTTATGACCGAGCCTGTCTCGGACTCAGCGGAGCTCCAGAAGCCGCCGCAGCTGCTGCTGCCCCGATGCTCGTAGCCGTTCCAGCTATTTTGCGCATGCTCCTCATCCTCGGAGGTCTCCTCCATGATGGGCTCCAGCATTTGGCGCGAGCTGGACAAGTAAATGCCATCTGCAAATGGAGAAAGTGAATTGTTATTGTTAAATATTGTTTATATTATTATTCGGTTTTATTATTATTATAAATCGCAGCGCACTTTGAAGCCACTTGCGCATCTTTCCCAGCACCGTCTCCAGCTGTGCCTGCGGCCAAACTGAAGCGCAACGCGACAATCTGCACAAGCACAGGGACAGAGACAGAGACAGAGAGATACAACTGCATCTGCATTTGCAACTGCAACTGCAACTGCATTTGCTGCTGTGATCTTATCGCCAGGGCTCTGCGTGCCTTTGCGTCGCATGATTCATGCCGCTTAATTATGCAATTTATTAATAAAGAGTCGCCACATTGGTTGGCCAAAGCTGACCAGACTTCTTCGTTTTAGTATACAATGACACCAGCTTCAAGTGCAGAGGTTAGTTGAATCAATTAACTAGAAACTAATTCAAACTTATATAGACCCAAAGTCCTGCTACTTTAGTTTTGTGGCAAACTTTGCTGTGCATCAAAGAAGACATCTCCGATCCCATAAAGCACATACTTATCTATTCTTGAGCAGTTTTAACAGCTGAGTTGACAGCTGTTCCATGCAAGTGATTTAAATATTGAGTGCAATAAGTGGAGCTGTCTTTTTTCTTTCCGAGTATTGCGAATATTAAAAGCATATCTGAACTTGTTCTGTGCACACACAAAAAAATTCATTGAATTTATTTTAAATATCTACAAAAAAGGCTTTGAAATCATGTAAAAGAACGTATCAAATTGATTATAATCTGAGCCACTTTAAGCTAGTGTCATTGGCACAAAAAAGAGATACTCCGAGGCTTTAAAGCTTATCTCTGATATTCTGTGAGAACGGCCAAAAAAAAAGATATGCTGGAAGGCCATTAGTTTATCTCTAAAATTCTGAAAAAAACATATTTTTTAATGCGCTGAAATGCTTTTATAATATGATTAAAATGTGCAAAACTTTAGGCTGATCTCATTGGACCATAGGAAAACAAAACTGGAAACTGTTTGCAGTTTTTACGTTATAGAAATTTCTAAAAATCACATCGAGCTTTTTTAAACATATTTTTAAAAGCACCTGAAAGCTTTTGTCTTTAGCCTATGTATAAAATGTAAGCTTTTCTCCTCTTTAAAGTAATTCCTTCAGCTTATGTCATTCAATCGTAATTTTTGTAAATTTTTTCCTATAATTCCCAAAAAGCTTCTGTTAAAATATGTTGAAAAGCACCTGAAAGCTTTTGCTATAAGTTTATGTTCAAAATGTAAGCTTTTCTCCTTTCACTCTAGACTTCTACTTCTCTTTAAAGTAATTTTTTCAGCTTGTGTCATTTAATTGTTATAGAAGAAAGTGGAAATTGAATTTATGGAAAGTTTGTCGCGGACTTCAGTTTAATTTAGAACGCGAAGCTTATTGATTACGAAGCCTTCATTTATTGCTTTTGATTAAAAATGTGGTTGATTAAATTCTCACTTAGATAATCATTTTTGGGCATACTGTCCATGAACTGGAATTCCCAAAAGTAGTTAACTTGTTTATACTGAATAATGCTTCCTTGCAGCATTTACCATTTTCTTAAATAATGTAAATCTGATTGAAGTTCCTATAGTAAATATATATTGATAGTTTTCACACTCACCTTGCTGTTCAAATGCGCCTAAATTCCAATTAATGGGCGTATTTAGATAACCCGCCAGATCCAAGTGTTCCATGTTGAATGTGGCAAGTTGTTCAGCAAATTGTTTTGGTTTTTTTTTAGGATGCAGTTTTTTTTTTTTTATAGCTTTGACTACTGCTAAATACTAAAAAGTAATGTATTTATATCGTTGTTGCAATGCTTAGTCTCCAAGTATCACATCGGTTCGTTTCTGATTCTTCAGGCTCTCCTCATTGAATGCAACTGGGGCAAATAGCACCAATTATTTCCATTTGCCTTATCGCAAGTATTTTGAGTTTTTGTGCAATTCGGCGGCAGCATTCGGTACAGACTTTAGTTGTATTTTCGATAAGCGAAAACGATATCTGTAAGCAAAAAAACCAAAAACAAAAGAGAAACAATACCAAAGAAACGTTAGTACAAATTGGTGATAAGAGCGGAGTCATATGCCTATATAACAGGCTGTGAGCGTTTTTTTACGCTGCATTTCAAATTGCAAATTTTTAGTAAATTGGCCTTTTAAAGGAAAAGAGCAGCAACAGTTCTTTATAAAGCCATATAACTTTTTTTAGTACATTTTAGCACAGGCACAAGTTTGCGAAACCTATGCAAATCGTGCAGCTTAAGTCTAATTAAATATTTAATCACATTTTTTGCATTTTAATTCGTAGAATCAATGGATATTAAAGCTACCCGTGAGCTATCTTTGCGCTGGGTTTGACTGGAGCGCATTTAGATCTTTTAGAACATTATATAAATCGTGCAACTTAAATATAATCAAATAATTAAGTAAATTTTAACATTTTAACTATTAGAAACAATGGATATTAAATTTTTCCGCAAGCTGACTTTGCGGAAGCTGTGTCAGCGCATTTAGAACTTTTAGAACATAATATACATCGTGCAGTTTAAGTCTAATTATATATTTAAGTACGTGTTCAGCATTTTAACTATTAGAAGCAACGAATAAAACAGATTACCGCAATTTTCCTTTGCATTTGCTGTGTCAGCAGCGCATTTTGAATTTTTAGATCATTCAACTAATTTAGTATATTTACACTCATGATCGGCGGTGACCTGTATATATATTGTAAATAATTTTAGCGCAACCACAATTTAGTCAAAATAGAGCATATGAGCTAATCTAATGAAGAAAACAGCAGCCAGGGTTAAGCAAGATATTTTAGCACCAATAAATATATGTGTTAGATCGCCGCGTTTATTGACTTGTGCTGACTTTTATAGTTTCATAGAATCATAATACAGCTGAAAGTCAGCTTAAATAAAATCTATGGCTTGGTAATCAAATAGAAAACAGCAGCTAGAGTTCAGTAAAAAATTTTAGCACAGATTTTTATACAAGCATCTGATAACTAGTAGTAGAAACGGCTGCCCCTTTATGATTATTGAGGCGGGGGCGAATTTAATTGCTCCAGCCGAATGCTAATAAGTATTTCTGTATGCCTCACACATGGCAAATGTGTGTACAAATATAAAATTCGAAATAGTTGCCCGTCAAAATGCAGTGCACAGTGGGTGATCGCCAATTGAGTCGAGTCGCAAGTTGTTTGCCTGCATTTCCAGCTGCATAATATGCATAGTACACTTAATATGTACACAGTATTATTTACAATTTAAAGATTTTGTTTAAAGCATTCATACGCCACGCTGGATTGCACAAAACAAGCGATAACCCAATTCCCCGCCTGCACTTTTCAATGCCATTAGGGGCGAGGGCAGCTTGTATTTAGGTTTCTGTCGATCCAACTTATATATATAAACAGGGAAAATTTTTTGCTCAAACGTCATTGGGAGGCGTTCGACCTGTTGTTTATTTCGCAATCCGTGCTATGTAAACTCAAGTTATTTATAAATCGAATTGGAAATACATATTGCACAATACACATGGTACGCATGAAAACTTACAAAGGAAATTTGGCCGAAATAATCCACAGAAAGTAAGCAATTCAATTGAATGCGAACTGCCAGCGATATGTCAGGCCAATACCGGCTAAACAGAAAGTGATTGGTTTCTTTTCTAAATATCATGCATAGATTGATTACATCCATCTTACGGAAATTGGCTCAGTGTCAATTGGTTTTATAAATAGAAATTGTTTAACGGAATCGAGCCAGAACCTTTCTAAATAAATATTCATTTAAAATACCAGCTCTTTTTGCAAGCGAACAAAACTTTTTCAGTATCTAAATAAAATTTAAGGCATTGTCTGAACATATGATATTATAAACATTGCGGCTTATTTACTACTTGCAACAAAGTTGGCATTTAGACCACTTTAGTACGCATTTAGAACAGCCAAACATATTTTTTAGATACCATTTCACGCTTTAAGTACTACTCGCAACAAAGCAAGCTTTAAAAATAGTCCAATTTACGTTTTTAGTTCATCTTTAACAATGACAACAGCAGCTGAACTAAATTATTTACCATGCTGTCCACTTTAGTACGCATTTAGAACAGCCGAACATATTTTTTAGATACCATTTGACGCTTTAAGTACTACTCGCAACAAAGCAAGCTTAAAAAAAAACCAATTTAAGTTTTTAGTATTTCTTTAATAAACACAACAGCAGCTGAACTAAATTATTTACAATGCTGTCCACTTTAGTACTCATTTAGAACAACCAAACATATTTTTTAGATACCATTTCACGCTTTAAGTACTACTCGCAACAAAGCAAGCTTTAAAAATATACCAATTTACGTTTTTAGAACATGACAACAGCAGCTGAACTAAATTATTTACCGTGCTGTCGCTTTTTAGAACACATTATCTTACGTTATTTCAGCCATTTTCGCTTTCATCTGACTTCCTCTCTACGTGAAAACCGAAAAGAGCTGTCATAAGCGACATGCACATGCAACAAATCGTGTCCAATTAATCATCTCGATATTCAAATAGATTGACAGCCAGCAGAGAGACGACAGAAAAAAACACATGTAGCGCATTAAAAGTTGGTGCTAAGATCCTAAGACTATGACATCAATTTTGTATCTTTGGCTTATCGCAGACAATATATATGAAACGAAAATTTGAAGGTTGATTTCATTTTTAGAAAAAACGTTGATTAAATGATATTTATATTTGATTTCTTTTGCTGGCTGATAAGATAGAAAACGATGTGGAATAAAACTGGCCACAAGACACCCTCTATATAATAATTATAGATCGGAAGTTGTTTACTTTTGGCTCTGCCGCATGCATCCATCAAATTTCGGCCCACTAAGCTCCATAGCGCTGAACTTTGGAACGTGCAAAAAACGCCAGAGATACGACATGAGGAAGGTGTATGATATGCATGTGTATATATATATATATATATGTACATGAATATATACTTTATTATGTGGCCAGCGGTAATGCGTTGTCCAATTGAAAGATTGTCACATGTACTAAAATAATAATACAAAACCAAATATATATATATTACACATTACACATTTCATGACAAAATTATACTACCCTCTACTAGGCTATATAAAAAAGGTGCACACAAGTCATTCACTCGAAATAAAAAACGTAGCAACAAAAAGGGAATTGAACAAAATTAAAATAAATAAATAAATTCACATGCCAAATGTTTAGTGCGTCACATTTTGTGCTCTTCTATAAATAAAATGACCAAAATAAAAGAAAGCTGTCCAAGCAAAGCAACAGTTTAGATCACGCGGCTGGCAAAGGGCGGGAAAAATGTTCTTAGAAAAGCATAAATTATTTTATTAGATTGTCTGGCCGAGTGCTGTTGAGCGGCTGTTCTGTATACACAGGCATATATATATTGCTATATATGTAATATCTGGTCGGGCATTGCGGAAATCTTAAAGAGTGTTTAAAACTCTTTGGTGGCCATCTGGCTTTCAGGGATCACGCACCGTCTGCCAGCAGCTTTTTATTGCAAAAGTTCACTTGCCCCACAAATGTGCAGTTCGAAATTGTTTTATATTTGGTTTTTTTTATTATTTTTAATTTTCCATTTTGCCGGCATGGCTACGCATTGTCTTTGGCTCTGGCCTCTGCGCTTCGAATGAATCTCTGTTTATTTTGGTTCGTATAAATTTTGTACAATATTCGTGTCGGTTGGCCTTTCATAAACAACAAAGCTCAAAAATGAATTATTGGATAATGGGCATCTCTCTTTCTCTCTGTGTGCGCGTCTCTGTTTTGGGCACGACAATATGAGTACGTTTGTTTTGGGGCGCGTCTCTTGGTCTCCGTCAAATGACTCACTTGCCTTGCTGGCCATGTATCGCGGTGCTTTACGATATTATATCGTTAAAAATACCCAAAGAGTGTTATAAACATGTGCATATGAATGTGCTCAAGGGTCTTAGGAGTGTTAGCATATTGAAGACACTTTCGCGCTGATATGCGGCGCCTATTTGTTTGTGGTTTTAACAAAATACAAAGTAAACAATTTTTAGTACAGATATTTAGCGTTTTTCCGTAAACAACTTAATTGTCTTAACTGTCCACAAACAGTTTAAAAACGTGAGTCATGCAAAAACGTGCATATTTGCATTTTTATTTAGTACATTTTTATGTAGTTTTAGTACATATTCGCACATTCGAAGGACATTTTAATTGCAGCTAAATGACATTTTATTAAGGTTCTTTAGTTTTAGTACACTTTAGACAAGTATTTTAAACACATTTGGCAGTTAATCAGAGCTTTATATAGTTTAGTACATTTTATTAGTGCACGTTCATGAATTGAATATATTTTAGTACAACATAAATGTGTATCTTTTAAAGTTCTTTTAGTTAAACAAACAAATTTATGCCACGCAAAGTTTTTAAATTGCATTTAGCACTTTTATAAAGACAATCTGCTTTTAGTACACTTTATGCGATTGCTTAAAATGCAATATCCATGCGATTAAGTACATTTTAGGAACATTTGCTTTAAAGTGCCTATAAAATATAATGTATATATGTGCATATATGCATGCACTCATTGCTTTTAGAACACAAATTTTCAATATTTACCAATCACACACAATTGTTATCTCTCCGCCTATAAATATAGGCAAAGTTTACATTTTGCAGGCGACGCCCATTTGGTAAAGAGATGCGTCAGGTACGCTTGGTACTTTCTCACCTGTGCTCGTTAAGAATCGGTTCGTTCGGTGTTTGTGTAATCCTTAAACGTTGTGCTAAAATCTCAACATTCTTAACACAAAGGCATTCAATTCATATTTAGCTCAGGACAGAGTCGAGTTAAACGTCGTATAATATTTGTTATCTCTTATGACATGACAATTGTGCGCTCTGATAAGGCATAAGGGCGAAAAAATATCGTTTTATTTAATTTATTTTGTTTTGGCAATTTGGCTGCCAATTTT